TAATGTATTTTAAAGATATATATATAGGTGCACACAGGGGCGGACCCATGTGAAGGTTAGGGGTTCACCCGAACCCCTCGTCGAAAATTTTTACTGTATTACAAGAGTTATTTATGATTTTACGAGTACATATATTAAACTCAACCCCCTCAAAATAAATAAAAGCATGATTCAGTGGCTAAGGGGTTCAACTTTGACCGAAATGGTTTAGGTTTGATTCTCACTTACAACATTTTCACACTTTTTTTTTTTTGCTTTGAAAGGCTGATTGGGCTCTTGTTTTGGGCTCAAATCCAACTTCATTTCATTATTTTTGAAAGGTTGAATGGGCTCAAATCTCAACTCAATGAAATGCCTCATTATTTTTGGGATCAATGTAAAACTTTATTATTTTTGTTATCATTAGTTATTTTTTTATGCTATTTTTTTTTCTCAATTTATTTTTGTTTAAATTTAGTACACATATTTTTGATACTTTTGTCTTTTATTCTTCTTATTTAAACGGCTCATTTTATTTCTACATATGTCTATTTCCATGTACTAACTCGAAACTCTTTAAAAAAATGACGAATTATTACTAAATTTGAAATTGATTTACAAAAAATATTATATAAAATAAATTAAATTAAAGTTAATTAATGAAGAAATTTAAAAGTCGTGAATATTCTTTTAATAAAATCTAATTAATTGATTCCCCTCGCCCCCCTTAATTTTATAGTATTTCTTTCTTATTTTTTTCAATTCGATTTTAAAAAGATGAAAACTAAACTAAACTTATTTGAATAATTCATCATTTGTCTTTTTCACGAATGTCAAACCTAGTAAATTAAATTAAATGAATAAAAAAATCGACAATGTCAATTGTTTATCTTATAAATATATATTATAATATTAGTAACTCAATTCTTACGCTTTTTAAAAAGAATCTTAGTGGTTGAATTTTTTTTTAAAAAAAATAGAGTAGAAAGATACTGCAATAAAAAAGAGAGAAAAAGCACGAGAAATATTTTTAAAAAGAAGCTCGATGAAATAGGATAAAAGTAGAAAAACTAAACGCGGCATGACAAGGCAAGTTAAACTTATTAGATTAAGATTACTAGTTTCCTCCTATCTCGCTCAGTTTTTCATCTTGTAATTTTCAGATGTTCACTTCTTTTTATTTTGAACCCCCTTCACATAAATCCTGGATCCGCCATTGGATGCACGTGGACATCATAAATATTGCGTTATTATAAATAGTAACTTGTCCAACTGGACACTTATATACATTTAAAATACACTATTAAATAGAAAAGGGGTAATAGGTACTTCCCAAAGTTTGAGATTGTTACAGCAATTTCGGTCAAAGTTCGAATATATTTCAAATTGTTTTCCCTCGATTTAAGTTGAATTCTCAATTTAGAATCTGATTCTTTAGTTAGCAGAAAATTCATTATGTGAACTCAAAATTTCATTTTTAAACTTTCTGATTACACCTCCACTTTGCATCAATTTTTCAACTTCTAACTTATAGACGATTTATAATTTTCATTTAAAAATATAATTGATGAAATTTTTGGTTTCATTGTAATCTATTTTCATAGCCAGTGGTTGGTTGCTGTTTGGTGCATAATTTAGCCTGTTTTGAATTTTAAGAAATAGTCTAATTTTAAAAAAAGAGAAATATTCCATTATATCATCTCATATTGAAAAATCAAATTATAAAAATTGAATCGAATGAATTAGAAACAATTAAGTCGAATTGGAATAATTTTGTTTTGGCATGCATTAATGAAGAATCGATCAAAAAAAAAAAAAAGAAGAAGAAAAGAATTGAGTTGAAGAATCGAATATCCACCCTTACATGCACTTGTTAAAGTTCTTTCCCTAATATTTGACCCATTTAATTTGTCAATTACTCTATGTTCAATAATACTTGTCTAATATTATATTTACGCACTTCGTAAGAAAGTATAAATAAAAGGGTAATTTTATTATATTATCCTTTGAATATACTCTATCCGTCGAACCATAGTTGTCAACTATACTATTTTGGGATGTCCAATAATACTTGTCCACTTATGAAATCAATGGATAATTTTACACTTAATTCCTAATTTATCCTTATCATTAATTATAGTTATTTTACCTATTACATTTTTCAAGACATTGTAATTATTATATTCAAAGAGTGATATAGTAAAATTACCCTTTATAGTTTCTTAAGGGATATGTCAAGTCAATAGTAGACAACTATTGTTGGACAGAGAGAGTAATAAATACAATGTCTTGAAAAATATAATAGACCAATGATTATTATTAATGATAAGTGTAAATTAGGAACAAGTGTGAAAATGTCCATTGATTTCATAAAGTGGACAAGTATTATTGGACATCTCAAAATAGTATATTGGACAAGTATTATTGGACATCTCAAAATAGTATATTGGACAAGTATTATTGGACATCTCAAAATAGTATATTGGACAAGTATTATTGGACATCTCAAAATAGTATATTGGACAAGTATTATTGGACATCTCAAAATAGTATAGTAAACAACTATTATTGAACGGAAAATTGGTAAGTTGTAACCTCTCGCGGGTGAAATCTTAATAAAAGTTGCCAAATTAAAAGAAGTTCGATGGGTTTTTTCAATTCATTGTAGTGGTAAAATTATCTTATTGTTTCGAATGGGATGGATAAAGTTATTTCACAAATGCATAATAAAATAATTCTATATTTTATTATCTCTCATACAAAACGACATTTTAAACTTAAAGTATATGACAAATTATGTCAACGCACATAGGTTTATTTCATATAGATAAACTTGTTCACCTATCACTTATTAGACGCATTTCGACGGCTCACTATTTAATTGCTTGACATACCTACTTCGCTCTAACCTTAAGATCGTGGATTTCAATCATCTGGGAAACAAATGAAGGTGGGAAACAAGGGTAAAAAAAGAATGTTCTACATTCCTTAACAAAACCCAACATTCTTGAACCTTCTCAATCAAATTAAGAGGTCGTTAATCTATAAATTAACAATCAATTAAAGGTAATCGTTAATAATATCGCACACTGCAGGGCTCATTCGGGGGTGATGCTCTCAATAAGATTTTTTTCATACCCATAGCTCGAACCCGAGGCCTTTGGTTAAGGGTGAAGCACTCCAACCAATGCATCACAATTCATATTGGTTTTATTCATTAGTTCATTATCTCGTATTACTATTTATTTTACGATTTGTTGCCTAGGCATAAAAAACATTTTTTATAAAAATAAATGTGTATCAATTTAGACCATCTCCAACCCTACTCTATTTTACTCTCCATTCTATATATTTGGAGAGTAAAAATAGAGAATGTCCTCTCCAACCACTCTCTATTTTACCCTTTACTCTCCAATTATAGAGAGTTGGATAGCAGTTCTCCAAATTTGGAGAACTACTATTCATACTCTCTATTTCACTTTTTGAATATTATATTATTATTTCTACTATTTTGTAATTAACATATTATTTTTCATATAAGACTATTAATTAAATCTCTATATTTACAATTCTTTTTAGATGTAATATAACATTTTTAAAAATATTTTATTTTATATATACTACTTTCATCTCAAATTAATAATATCACTTTTGTGATACAATTTGATGTTATTATTAATTTCCACTATGAAGAATGCACAAAATTTAAATGATGAGATAAAAATTTTAATTTAAAAATATAATACATAACATAATAATTTAAATACAAGATAACAATACAATGCATAACATAATAATTTTAAAAATCACCACAATAATTTAGTAATCCGGTAGGTCGTTTCTAGATTTAACGATATTCGAAAAAGGAATTAGTATATGATTTAGAGAAGTTGTGGTTGTGATTGCGATTGTGCTTGTTGATTATTTTTTTCCAATTCTTCGTAGTTGTTCTTTAGAAATTTAGAATAAAATATAATTTAATACTAAATAAAAAATTTCAAAAAATTAAAATTTTATATTACATGAAATTATATAGGATGATTATTCGGAAAAAAAGAAAGAAACGATTTATATTATGAAATACGAAAACAAAAATGAAATAGAAATAATAATATAATATTGACGAGAGAGAAGAAGATTATTTTTTAGAAAATAAAATAGAGAATTGAGTTGAAATTGATTGTCTGAAAAAATATATTTAAAGAATAAAATAGAATGTGGGATTGGAGATGCGCTTAGATCAATGTCAGAAATTGGCCATTTTACAAAGTTGCCCCTCCCCCAACCCCAACCCCCAATTTTTTTTATTTATTTGATTCATTATTAGTCAATAGGAATTAGGACCTACAAGTCATAATAATTAATTTCGTCATTGTACCCTCATATATGCATGGGATTATTTTCAATTTCTGACATCTTTCCTATTTATGTCTCCATGCAATTGTAGCCATTAATGGAAACAAGGACAAATTAATATTCCTCCATCTCATACTCCCTCCGTTCCTATTTAGTTGTCCATATTTCCTTTTTTAGTTGTCCCTATTTAGTTGTCCATTTTGACAAATCAAGAAAGGACAATAAATTTTTTCCATTATACCCCTTATTTACACTCTTGAAAATTTCTAAAAGTGTATGTTGTTTCCCTCCAATTTATTTCACTTGACTTCAAAGAAGTGGTTGTAATTTTGAAGTGAAAAGTTGTCATAAAGGTAAAATTGTAACTTCACTGTGCTAATCATTGTTGCCTTAATCTGTGTGTCATTTCTAAAGTGGACAACTAAAAAGGGATGGAGGGAGTATTAGTTATCAGAATCAATAAAAAAATATTTGTTATAGTTCTGACCATGAAAATTATATGTCAAAATTGGAGTTATATTGATTATGAATACAATGTACAGTGAAAACGATTTTAAAGTTTAATAATCACACATGTTTAGCGAAGTTCCACTCTTAAAAAGAAAAATCATAGCTAAACCTAAACGCCCTCGGAATAAATATACTGAAGAAATATGAGGATAAAATAACAAAAAATAAACATTTTATTTATGATTTCTTAAAACACGTGCAAAACAAGAAGTAAATAATGTTTCAACAAGAGAGTCACTGAGATTTCCAAATCTGAACAATACTACAAAGCGACTCATAAGACGATCCTCCACTGTTAAGTGCAATTTTTGCACTTTCTTTTAGCTCTTTGGCTCTCCTTCTCATAGCTTTCCCTTTTTCTCCTTCCATAACAATCCTCACATTTTTCTCAATTTCATTCCGATCAACAAGCTCTTCCCCAGGATCTTTCGAGAACTTTAAAGCCACCCCGGCCTCCTCCGCTAAGAGGGTGGCGTTCATCCTCTGCTCCGCGTAAAGTGGCCATGCTATTATAGGCACACCATGAATTACGCTTTCTAAAGTCGAATTCCATCCACAGTGTGACAGAAATGCTCCGATTGATGGGTGATTGAGAATTGATGTTTGTGGGGCCCATGATGGGACCACTAAGCCCCTCCCTTCTGTTTTCTTAATGAATCCTTCAGGCAAGTACAGTAATGGGTCATTCTCATCGCTCCCCACGTTGAAAAAAGCTGCTGAGGCACTTGCATCACTTGGTTTGCGCACCACTAAAATGAACCTATTATTGGAAGTACAATTATAGTTAAAAAAAAATATACTCACAATATATACACTTTATTACTCTAAACGGGGTGTGGCCAAAGACAACCAATTTTGGTAATATATTTCATCGAGCAATAATATATAAACGTATTTTTTAACATTGCATCAACTTGAATATATTTCCTCCCATTTAAATTGTGTATAAATAGATATTTAAATTATCCAAAAATTAAACAAGTAGATACATGTGTCTTATATGACATAATATACATAAGATATCATGTAGGACGCAGAACTACCAAATAAGACACGTATGTTTACTTGTTTAATTTTTGAATAATTTAAGTGTTTAATTGTGCATATCTAAAGTTATAGACCATAAATATGGACCAAGTTTAATGACATATTTAGGTATGAAAAATGATATATGTGTGTATTTAATAATAATTTAACTTTGTGTCTGGTTAAATTATACTCCCTCCGTTCCATTTTATATATCACATTTTTATTTTGCATTTGCATTAAGAAATTATGTAACTTTATCTTTCTATTCTTATTTAATATTTTTTTAAGTCAACTTTATTAATAAATAACAAGATTAATTAACTATTCTATCAAGGGTATAATAGGCAAAATATGCATAAATTTTATAAAATGACAAAGTATTGTGGTCAAGTTATTTATATAGAAAGAGATAACATATAAAATGGAACGGAGAGAGTATAATATAAAATGGGACAACTAAAGGAATACTACCTTTGTTGACTCATTTCGAGACCCCAAGCTAACTCACTAAGTTGTTCACTCGTCAAGGTGCCGCCACTACCAAAGACCACAACAAGAACAGAATCAGGGGGCTGATCATCCAGCCAAGCCAAAATCTCAGCATCCTTTTCTGTAACAACTTCATCTTGTTTGATTAATGGCCCGATTGTATAAACAGGAGGAAGAGGTATTTTTTGGAAAAACAAATTTTCTCTAAGAGCTTTAAGAGATACAGGTTCAAGATCATCCCAACTGTTCACAAAAATCCCCGCTGCTAATGGCAACCTGCTCACGTTAAGCAAATACCATTTGTACTCGTCGTTCTTCCTGTCTTTCACCTGTACAATACGATTCAAAATTTAAACTTGATGAATCAACGTAATACTATTTTAGTTAAATGTATCGCACTTTTTAGAGAAGTACAAGTTCAAAACTATTTTCCATGTATAATCATGCTTCCTATGGAAAAAATATTGGATTCAATTGAACCAGAAGCGCTTAATGAAACTCGATATACTCAGGAACGTAACACATAAACTTCAAATCCGTTTTCGTAGACAACTTTACCTGATCGAGGATATCGTGAGGGCAAATTGGGGTACATCCGGGAGTTTGAATAGGTTCAGGAAGATCAACAAATTCGCCTTCAACTTCCCTATCAAGCGTTGGTAAGTACAAAGAGAACGCCATTAAAATAGTAGAAGCAGTGAAAAAAGAGTAAACAGGAATCGAAAGCTTTTCGCAAATCTCAAAAGCATCAGTACAGAACAAATCGATTATTAAAGCTTTTGGGCGTTTTTCCATTAAGAGTGAAGGGAGATGTTTCAGTGATTCGCGGACCATGATACACAATTGCGTGAGTAGTTTCATATCGTCGGTGAAAAACGAGGAGATATTTTCCACCGGCGGGATTTCGACGGCGGTGAAATCGGCCGGGAGATTCTCCGGTCGGAAAAGTTCGTTCTGAGCAGCGGAAGCTCCGGTGGTTATGACGAAGAAGCTGACGTGGAAGCCGTGGTGGATGACTAGGCGTTTGGCGAATTCGAAGAGCGGAGTAATGTGTCCCATGCCGGGGCTGGGGAGGAAGGCGACGTGAGGCTTCTCGATTTTTTCAGGTATGGTCATGGTGATGAACAAATGGAATTAATCCCAAAAAAGAAAAATAGAAAAAATATTTTTTGCAATTTTTTTTTAATGCAGAAATAAGATAGATGTGTTTGGTGGTATGGTAAGTTGTAACAGATATATGCTTTATATAGGGAAATTTTTTTATTTAGGGCCGTTTGGCCATGCGATATGAAATTATCGTATCATGATATGGTATCATGATATGAAATCATGAGATGAAATTGAAGCTTTCTTTAGACATGCGATATGAAATTTTTGTGTTGTATATTTTCTCATGAACATAAAAATCTCATAAGTTGTAAAACTATTAAAATAGCCTTAATTGTTTATTCAATTTTATCAAATAAACAAAAAAATATAAAATCGCATAATAAATTACTATAAAACTATTTGTTCTCCACTTAAGTAATTGTTTCATCTAACTTTAATTTAATAAAAAAAATTGAACATAAATTGTAGTGTACTAGTCTTTAATATAATCCTCCCACATAGTACGGACAATTTTCTCACGTTGAACTTGCATTTCTCGATCATGTGACTGAGAAGACGAACCAACATTGTTACTTTGAGCCATTTGTTGGTCAATATCATCCGCAACTACATTTTCATGCTCATAGACCATAAATATTTCATCACTACTTTGGTATTCTCGCAAATAATTATGTAACACTGCACAAGCTATGACAATTTTCACAAGTGTATCAATATCATAATGATTTATGCCTTGTTTCAGTATTCTAAATCTATTTTTCCAAGCTCCAAAAGTCCGTTCAATCAAACTGTGCAAAGATGAATGCCTATAATTAATTAGTTCTTTGGCATTTTGAGGCTCTCTTTCACTTCCTCGATAATCTTGCAAATGATAGTATAGTCCTTTGTATGAAGCTAAAAATTCTTTTTCTGTTTCGAAAACCAACATCAACAACATAATATTTATCTACCAACAATCATTTTATAAAGAATTACTAAAAGCATATGTGACGTAATGAGACAACTTTGTGTAAATAAATAATATTTATTCTAAGGATGTAATTTAAAGTTACCGTGTGGCAGAAATGGAAATTGTGACGTTGGTTCAACAAGTGCATTTTCAAGTACTTTACTATCATGTGGGTGAGAATAATAAATAGTAAATAAAATTTGTATGTCAATGAGAATAATAAATTTTAATAAGTAATGATATGATTATAAATTTTATTTACATATGAAATAAATGGTTAGTAGATATATGTGGGGTTGTTTTAACAAAATCTAAAGTCGTGGATCAATTTTTGTATTAAAATATCTCAAATCATGATATGAAATTCTCATATAATTCAATATCATGATTTTTGAAGAATATGGAATCACATATCATGATATGAAATCATGAGATGAAATCAGCATAAAATCGCATGTCCAAACGCTAATTCCCATCTCACGATACCATATCGTGATATGGTATCGCATGGCCAAACGCCTACTTAGTTCCATTCCAATTTACGTGATATTGTTAAACACGACACAGTTATGAACAATTGTAGTCCAAAATATTTTTGACAATTTGTATAGTTATGAATTATTTCAGTACGATTAAGAATAAAAAATAAATTTTAAAATTGAGTTGTATTTTATTTCGATAATTGTGGTGTTCGGATCAATTTTTACGCACTTTAATTAATTCCACGAGATATATGTCCTCTTTCACACCAACAACATATACTGGAAACCTAAAATTAGATAAGTTGATTCGTGATATTTTTTTTGGAAGAACTAAAATAAAAAAGCGTGTCGGATAATCTAAGAGTCTAAGACACAAATAATACCATTTTAGTTCAATTTTACCTGATCAATGTTTTAAAAATAACATTTAATTTTATTTATCGCTCAATCTATCACATCATCATTAAATAGAGGGAGGGGAAGAAAACATAATTTCATCTTCAAACTAAATACGTACTTGAGCTAAGAGTGGACAATCACTTTCTAATTTTTTTTGATGAGATAAATACCCAAAACAGACCAATCATCACATATCCCTATTTCCTATCAAAACTTTTCATAAGAATAGAATAATAGCACATTATCAACATGGATTATTCTGCTACGGTAAAATTACTCCGCTCTTAATTAGAAGTTTCAGAATTGAGCCTAAAATATAAGAAAAATTCTATTGAAAATTTCACTTACTAATAAATCTCGCAATGCACAATTTAAATTTAGGGTGTGTTTGGTATGAAGGAAATCCAATTTTCTCATGTTTGGTTGGGTTAAATGTTTTGAAAAATGTTTTCCAAATCAACTCATTTTCCTCAAATTTAAGGAAAATGACTTCCCTTCAAAACTTATGGAAAACATTTTCCAAAAGACTCTCTTCCAACTTCAAATTACAATTACTCTTTTGTTGAAAAAATCAATTTATTTTGTCCATACCTTCAAACCTGCCTCCAACCACCCCCCCACCCCCCACC